CTAGAACAGTTAGGAAATCATAATTAAATTCACTAGTATGACTAGATATTGATCTTCATTTTTATTGTTTTCCTGTTAGTAAACTAAAAGAAAATATTAAAGTTATAACATCTTCCAGTTTCCAAAGTTTTTTCAAGTCTTTTGTTTTTATATTGTATATTCTAGTAAGTATATATCCAAGAACCCTTATTATTGTTATTATTATTATTATATTATTATTATTATTAATATTTAATGAGCCTCTTGTGGTATCTATGTTTGACAAACTTCCGAAATATTTTATTACAATTGTGTTATACCTTTTATATAAAAATGCATAAGTGTTTGTATTATGTATATGTATTTGTAAATACCTACCTACCCCCACCTATCCTTACACTTCCAACCTGCCTAATGAAATGTAAACATTTCATTTCGCCGGAAAATATCTACAGTGCGATCCAAAATAGTTCATAAACCGTTAGTGATACGGCCATTACGTCTTTATTCCTTCTTTACTCCATTTAAATCTGCTTCAATTGCCCGGTAACATCGTTTACGGTCAGTTTAAGGAGGTCTGCAGCCCGTTTTAATCTGGTTTAAATTGCCTGGAAACACATTAAGATAGATTTAAGGCTTTCTGCAGTCCGTTTATATCCGTTGTGTTACTAGTTCTACTCTGATCCTTCTACACTGACAACCGCACGAACTCGTTGGTAACAAGACCGCCTCGTTAGCAGACAGTTCAAAACACTCTGGCCATGCCCTCATCACGACCCCAATGCGTTCAGGTTGACATTACAATCACGTCCTGGCTTACCGGCTGCAAAACATCAAATGATGCTGCATTTTAGTTTGACCACACAGACAGTGACATCAACCAACGATTTTTTTTTAACAATCATGCCTCGAAGGAAGAGAAGAGCAAGACAAATGTGTCCTAACCCAACATGTTCTTGCTACTTTTTTTTCGTATCTCGTTGTTTCCTTGCTCTGTTTAAAACAAAAACGAAGGATCCAATATGTAGCAAGTATACAGCTGCTAGTTTATCATGGAACTGGACAAACGGCCCATTTTTATTCATATTTGATTTGATTGTACTGCAAACGATGAATACTCTGTAATTACTGCTTAAAAGCGCAATAACAGTACCCGAGACGAGTTTGAGGGTACTGAGGACATATTATAAACATTAAAAACTGGATAGAAAGGTGTTTGCAAACATGTGCAAAAATCACAATGACGGAATAACGACGCCACTAGAACGTAATACATTGGAGTTTCGTCTGGCTGTGGTGAAGGGAAGAAGGAGCAGTAAACGGATAGATTGTGTAAACACTTATTGCCAATCGTCATGCGACCTCACCAACGTTATTGCCAATCTCTAGAATGATCGAAGTACGGTTAGATCGAAAAAACATTCGTCTCGTTTTAACTGCGTTGATTGGAGAACAAGATAGCCACCAACAAATTTTGTGTGGGCCTAAAGTGGAATTCCGATCAAACCATCTGTGTCCGTCAATGAAGTTCTAAAACAGATCGTAAAAAGTTTTAACTACGATCATTCCGTTTCCGCACTGTTTGAACTGTTTTAGAGAAACAGGAATTCCTTAAACGCCCAAAACGACAAAATTTAGACTGTTGTAGGCTCGAGCCAGTAAGGCTACATGTTTAAGTACGTACCGGCTTGTTGTGACAGGTGTATTATTACGTCTTGCGTGAACGAACGTGTGTCCTACGTCTTATTATGGTCCTATATCGTTCTACACAGACCAAATTGTCGATTTTGTCCTGTGGCAACGTGCAAATTGTAGGCATAACCCTACGTTGACGTGCTCTTTGCCCTTGTTTTAACTAGACTTGTACTGCGTCAGCGTGCGTAATCATGCAGTGAGCTAGGACTGGCCATACCGAAGTGTAAGGCGAAAGTTTATCGGGTAGGTCTAATTATGTGACCACGTAAAGCATGCACCGCGTGCGTATCTGTTCTTTTAGAGGGGTCACAGATAGTTATTGTCCTTGTACACCGATAATCTAAGTGTTTTACATAAGCTATTTTGACATGACAAGCGGTATGGAGTACAGATAGGGAAGGTTTCAAGCCTGAAATATTGCTGGGAAGGCATCATTTTGGATGTATGGATTGACCTCTTTGTATTTAAACGATGTACATTGACCGGTCAGTGGTACATGGGTGAGATTTTAGGCAGCGATGCACAACGATAATCAAATAATTGCCGGCAAAAATCAGACTATTAACACATGAGTTGTTTAGCATAATTTGATTATTATATAACAGATAACAGATATTCCTCCATAGTCGATCGACTGCCTTTGCAGAAATTCAGGGCCAAAAGATGTGTTCTCTCCGATTTCTTAATTCAAAATGACCATCTAAACTGGTCTTTTATGTAACAATGGCTGTGCAGGTTCGAATCATCAGAAGGTGTGTTTATTTATTTTTTATTTATCTATATAATTCTTGTCAATAAGTCTGAGCATTATAAAATTAAATTAATTAATTAATTAATGAAACATTTTCGCAGCTAATGTGTTATTTTCCTCCTTTTTTATCGCAAATTAAAATGTAATATACTTATCTAAAACATGATTCAGCAAATGCATGTAAATTATTATACAAAGTGGTCAAAATCGGGTTTAATTAATAAAAATGATCACATGTATATCCAACATATTAGTGTTGATACGAGCGTGTAGACCTAATAACATTTAGAAATTCCTATGGCAATTGGTGTAACAATTTGCGCCTTTGTTGTCTGTGCAAATCTAAACAGAAAGTAAAAGAATTCATTTTTTACAAGTTTGACCTAAACAAATTCAAATTCTTTTAACGACAACATTGCATTTATATATAAGGTTATACACAGATATAACTTTAAGTTTGAATTTTGTTTTCGTCGGTACATGTAAATGAATTTCAGTTTACGGAAGCGTATCAGGGCCTACAGTTGGTGAGATGTTTTGCGCTAAGTCGACTAATTTTTATTCGCATTGATAAGATGTTTTTGCATTTCTCAATAAAATTTACTGACAAAGATGAGAAGCTTTTAGGCATTGCATTTTGATTTTTTCTCAATATGCTTAAAGCGTTTGTGTCTTCGACAAAAAAAACTGTCGAAACTTCTTGATTTCACGACCTATGCTGAAATAGTTAGTAAGACGCAAAGACGTAACTCGCATTGACAAATAGCTCACGTAATTCAACAAAGTTTTTTTGCAATGATTAAAAAACTTGTACTTATTATGTATTTTATCATAACGTCTTCATGGAATGTTTTATGTACTAGTATTACGTATTAATCATAACATCTTCATGGAATGTTTTGGTCAAAATGAGAAGAAACAAGTTGACATGACGCGACACTTTACGAAAAGTGGAGACCATGATAAGCTTCCGTAAGTGATAGACTATTTGCATTTTAGTTACATTAACATAAACAATAATCAGGCAGAGAAACGACTAATACTCTATGTAAATCAATTGTATTACTCGATACGTTATGCTCTGAGCAAAAGTAACTTTAAATATGGTGACATTACCACAAAAAATGCGCAAGGCAGTAAAGCATCCATAATTATTCACATAGTAACTATCAGTGAACACATTATTAATATAAAGTGTCATGAAAAAACTTACAATTTCCTGACCTTGACCCGTAATAAGGAACGCAGATTCCCATACATAGATATTTAATGAAGACATATTCAGTAAGAATTTTATAGATTTCAATAAATTTCTGCAATAAATTTTACTAAAAGATGAGCAAATTATATTTTGAATGCTTCAAAGTGACAAATTTACACTTTTGTCTTACTTCAATGTAAGAGTGTATCACTTTAACAACCGACTACATGTATTCCGCGAATAATCACTGAAATTTAAAATGTTCCCCGATCATTATAATGCCAAACGACAATAACTCTGAAAGTCTATTTTGTTTTCTTTGAAAATGATTCAAGTTGTGTCCAAAGTATGAGATATGAAACATAACTTTAAAAAATAACAACAAAAAACAGCATTTAATCATATTTTTATATTAATGATAATTATATACTTTTACATATATATATTATTTTGAGAATGAATATTTTTGAGTCTGTTACAAGTATATTTTAAATCATAGACAGTGTGAAACAAACTGACAAATTATATACACTAGACGATGCAATATGATTGACAATACATCAGTAATATTTTATTACATACTCACTGTTTGTAAGAAGCTCATAAAGAAAGGAAATATATATGTACAAAATGACTAACGAGAATCATCTTTTCGTGACCATTTTAACGTTGTTTTTTTATGGTGTTGTTGTTGTTTTAGTATGTACCCTTTAAGTCTCGAAACGGTTTTACTTTAAATTTGTCATAAGTATAGAAGCTGCATTCATTATTGCGTACTATCAGAAAAGCTAATCATGCACAACCATATTGTATTATTTCATACATGCACAATTTAAAAGTCTGATGTAAAGTTGTTCTTTTTCTCAGTATATTTTCAGTATCGTGTTTTCCCCGTAAACTTGTTTTCTTTATATTGCTCTAGTTCACGGTAGAACTGTTAAGAAACACATAGTTAATCTCTAGTCACAACAGGTTGACAGATGGTTAAATCAATTTCAGTTTTTAGCGTGATAACCATACATTTTATCTTGATACATTTGTGGCAATCAAGTGGTACTTAAATTATGTTTAAGTCAGTCTTCTGATTGAGAGCATATATTAAATTGACTATAGAATCTTTAAACAAATCTTCTTGCTTATCGTCTATCTATTTATCAATTCATTCCATAGGATATTGACGTATGCACTTAGTATGCACATCCATAACTAGTGAAGTGCATGTTGCATTCAAATATTTCAATAAATGTGTCGATGAATAGAATAATAAATAAGTTTGCAATGCAATAAAATATACATTTTTTTCTATTTTTCCAAAAAAAGGAGAAAATCTTATTCAATGTTATAATCTACTTAGATCTACTGACTACACAAACTAAACTGACTAAAATATTAATAAACAAATGCTGTGGAGAAGTTGAGGAAGATAGACATACAAATTTCATCACTTTATTAAAGCTAAAGTTTGAAAGAAGATATGTTGAATACTTTTATAATAGTTGTGTGGACATTTCATATATATTTCAGTACAATTACCCAGGCTGCAGGTTAGTTTATAGCGATATCCGTATTTGCTTGCATTATATTTTAATTATCAAGTAAGATTATATATTTCACTTTTTGACAATAACTATATTGGGCAATCATTATGGTTTATATTGTTTATAATAGACATGCAATATTTTTTTTGTGTTTTATTATTGGTAAAATGAAGAAATATTTATTGGTTACTGGTAAAGAAATTAGATAAAAGATTGAGATGAAATATTATCACACAATAATCGGCTGAAATATATTTCTAGTGATTATAATCAAAGCGTCTAACACGGGATAACACTTTATTTGTCTAGTTTAGGATAACATCTATTAAAGTTAAAATGTATATAACTGTTGCTCGAAGTTTGAAAAAAAAATGACTTTAATATACCTGTATGACAATTTTCTTTTAATTTTAAGAGCAAATGATGCATGTATAAATATTTCTAAACGTTTTAACCAGTACTTAAAATAACAACATAGTATTCTGTTCTGTAACATATTATTCTACTAACGTCTAATATTCACGCGTGTTAATTTTCAAAGACATTATATGTTACAAGATTTCGAGAATTGACTGGAATGTTATTGAAACAATATTATTTTACTATCATTATCTTTTATAAAATATTCCATTACATATTTCCTTATACTCTTTAATAGATAGATGTCAAGTTTTGTTTTTAGTTTAACAAAATATATTAAATGTATAAATTAAAGTTTGATAACGATTTAGGTTTAAAAGACAGATTATCATAAAAATCTTTTTCCCTATACTGTATACACAATCATTCTCACTGAATTAGTATTTTCGCTAAGCACAAAAGTTTCAAAATATAGTAAAATTCACTAATTTAACAGCAATATCTATTTTCATTTTAGATTTAAAGATTTTTCTTAATCATATACTTTTTTCCTTCAAGATTGCAATGGAAATACAAGGGTTGGCAAAGACAACCCCGATAGTAACAAGATGACTGGCGAAACAGGTATGTTGAACTGTTTATGGCCCTCTGTCAACAGGCGTGAATAATGATACAACCCTTTTCGTAGAAATTTATTAAAATAAAATATACAACTAGTATTGCAAGGATTATATAAAAAGTATACATAGTTTTGTTTTTTGACGTAAATTTATTATGTTATACATGTTCAGAATTTAACAAGACACTTTATTTCTAGTTTATATCATGATTATTACAAACTGTAAACGCAAAAAGTGACAGACTTTAAGACTGCAACATACATTCCATTACATTTTTCTATCTTTGTCACCTATCATCCTCTTACATTTGCTACAGTTAGAGAAATATTTTCCAAAAAGTTTATCTTAAATTAAACCTTATAAAATATATAGAAGGGTTGTATCACGTGTTTGCACTTAAGGTTTCAATGGGAAGACCTCTACAATGTATTTTGATTGTTCATTTGACATCTTAAACTAAAGTGTATCTTTTCACTTGATATTCGTCAAAAGCATAGAAACATGATAACCTCTTCCTTTCCAAGAGAGTTATTTCCTCTTAAAACTTACAAATACATTCACCCAGTGTCAACAAAGATTATATACAAATGAAAAATGCAGCTTAGTTTAGGCTGTCTCAGTAAATCTGTATTGTGTTATTAAAAAATATGTCATAAAATCAAAATCATTCTTTTGAGCACAAGATTTCGATCAATACTAAAGGACTAACAGACTTAAGACACACATGTATTCCGAGCAAGCATGGGTATTTATGCTTTTCTAGAATACTACTTCATGATCAATGTCTCAGTTTAAAACAATTATTTATACATTTGACTTTAACTACCTTTTTCTCATAACAATGAGTGTTCACATTCCTTGTCAGCCTCTAGGTGCATACAGCATTTATTTAAATGTATGTGCCAGATAGTATCGAAGTTCAACCCTAATCTTAAAGCATCACGCCTAAAACTCTGTGTACATGTATTCTTTAAATATAAAACTTTTAAAATTTCTTGTTGAATAAAACAATTATTTAAGTAACATATAGTGTCCACAGAAATCACTTCCTATGTGCAGAAAACTTTCTTATTCCGATAGTTTTTATTTTTAATTTCATCGAATTTTTTTAACTATGACTACGTCTTTCTGAAGACTCATTGTTCTCATCTAAAGGCCTTTTGCTTTAAATTACTTTCAGTTTGTTCTGCTATAGATAAAGGAGATACAAAAGAATATCATCTTAGTTAGTAGGATCAATAACTCATATGAGACTGTTAATATTATGTCAATCTTATATTGTATTACAAAGACCCATTATTGGCAGTTTAAGAGAAACTCAAAAGTTGAGAACGTTATATGCGTATCTATTGCCAATACATGTACGTGACTTTTATCATACATTTATGACATTTCTGTTGACAGACACGTACTTCTTGGCCACTGGGTACATGATCGATTGTTGTGGTGTACTCGACACATGGTACTATGACGCAGATGTCGAGAACGAAGAGGTTGAGCTTCACGTTTGGCGACCAACCACAGGAGATAACTTTCGACTAATAAGCACGACAAAGCATACTGCTAATAAAGGTACGACAAAAAGCTAAACGAATCTTGAACTGGCTCACCAGCCGAGCTCACATTATTTTATTTGGCCGTTTTGAATAAATATTTCGTTCACCTACATAAAAATTAAGTTCAATGGTATTTCAAGCATACTTAGAAATTCATGTTCGATACAAACATCATGTTTTCCGCTTTTAATGTTTATTTGTGTCAACAAAATAAGATGTTCAAGAAGAAGATATGGTTTATTAATTTCATCCTAATACAACTTCTGAGACAAATAGGACAACAAGTTGTAATGGTTTGCCTAATTGAAATTCCTGTTATGTCATGCCTTAAAGTTATATACCCTTCTTATATTTTCTTCTTTGTATATCTACTTATTAATCAATTATACCATTTGATATTACAGACAATAAACAGACGGTGACTCCAGTTAATTTTCCATTGGTACTCCCAGGGGACCGTTTAGGATGGTTGGTATTCTATTGATGTTGTGATTGAAATTTTAGTCATTATCATGAATGTATAATGTATTCCATAAATTTTTATACAATATTTTTAATCTATGAGGCATTACATCCGATTGACTTTCCGCCGTTCACCTGTCACAAAGTAACATCGTGATCTTTTAGGATCGTTGGTTTCTGTAAGTACGTCCACGTCATTTAAATGACACTTTTTCTGCGACCACAAGGCCAATTTTGATGAAATTTGGCGAAACATTTCCTGGAAAGAAGCTTAATCGGGTTAGTTCAAATGGTTTGTTCTTAACATATATATGTCACAGAAGCTAAAACAGGGCAAAAATAATTATTAAATTGGGTTCTTAAAAAAGCGAAATGCCTAGAGCAAAAATATTTGACATGAAACATGATCTTGCAGATTCCTACCAATTTTATTCAAATATAAGTCCTTTGATAAAACTTTTTTTTCTTGAACCACAAGATCTGAGCTCAGATATTTGGCATGAACCGCTACTTACAAGTTGATTCGAAATAAAGCTAGCTCTGGGATCAAAATTTGCCAAACAACACGAGGCCTGTATGAAACACGTTCGAAAAAACCCTCTGAAACTTAGAAATTTGGCTATACGACCGCTTTTAAGTTTGTTCAAGATCAAATTGAATTAAAAAGTAGTAAATTCCAATGCAACTATTGGATTCTTTAGCAACTTTGGAATATTGTGCATTTATTTTGCATTTTTATGTCTACCAATGATTTCTATAGTAACCAATGACTTCCCTTTGTAGATAGTGACATACATAAGAACAATTGACGTTTTTAAGTAAAATGTTTGCAAAAAAAAAATCGATACGAGAAATTGAATTTTTAAAATGTTCATTCAAAACGTAAATCTGCAACTAAAGCATAAAAAACGGATAAGGAACCTGTGTACATGAATTCATAAAAAGTTTAGATATCTTTCCAGTAAAATAAGTGCGTAAAACTATTACCTGTATGTTATTACGGTTTTTCATGATATTGTATCTCTTGAATAAGAAAAAGAAACATATTGAGTGATATGTATGACATTTTAAAGGTATTCAACCGTTGATGTGATTGGTTATAAAACCGGTGGAAATGATGCGAACGCGATTTACTTACCTGCAACGTCTGTTAACACGGCAGGTGACGTCACATGGGTCGGAACGACTGTATCACAAGAATGGGCAATAGGAGCAAGGCTTGGTGAACGTATGCTGTTTTATTAATGTTGTTTTTTTAAATGAGTAATTGTATATGATAAGATCATCGACCTTAATATATCACAACATGTTGGTTGTGGTGTGGTGGGCATGTGAAATGATAAAATTTGATTTTTTTTTTAATTTTCCTTTACTTAAATGTAACTGTTGCTTTATAGTAATGAAGCACACAATTGATGGTGACGTTGAAACTTATACATCTGTATCGGATCATAAACACGTGTATTCTATCCAAGTTATACTATATGAGCCGGGTCACGACAAAACCAACGTAATGCGTTTGCGACCAGCATGACAAAACCAACGTAATGCGTTTGCGACCAGCATGACAAAACCAACGTAATGCGTTTGCGACCAGCATGGATCCATGCTGTTCGCTTACAAATCCTATTACAAATAGAAAAACTGATAGCGAACAGCATGGATCCTGATCAGAAGCTGCGCGGAGGCGCAAAGTTTAGTCTGGACCGCCCCTGCTGGTCGCAAAACTCACTATGTTGGTTTTGTCGTGACGCGCTCATATTATCTGTTTTTTTTTTCGTATTATATGGGGGTAAGGCCTAAACTGGGTAGATGAACTTTACATTACATTTCTAAAGATAGTGATATTTTGAACAAAGTAAATATCATATCTTGAAAAAGTACAAAGATTTTTCTATTTTGATATACTGACCCTCAACCTCTAGATGAGCAAAAAAACTTTATCGTATTAATCTGGTAATCCATTTTTTGGGCTGAAAGACTGGTAATAATTCTATTCTACAATTCATTAGTGCCACACCTAAAATTTAAGTGTTTAAGATATACAATTATCAATGGAAATTTTTGTTTTTATTATGGCAAAATTAACTTAAGTATACCTAAAAAAAGAGTTGAAATTCCCCTTGGATTTACTGAATATTATTTTATAAAAACATTATTTTTTACATGTTTTTTGTCACATTTTTGTCTGAAATGTTTGACCTTGTATATATAATCAGCGCTACAAGGGAAAGAATGCCGGTTTTTCGCGATGCCAATTTTTTCTGTTTTATGCATGTCCAAGAAATACAAGAAACCCCGAGATACAAAACAGGGAAATATCTATTTGTTTAGGCAGAAACTATTACATTGTGCAAAATTAAAAAAAAATAAAATAAGAAAAGTTTCTAATGATAAGCAGGAAAATGTTTTTGTGAACAAGGTTATTTATAATAAGTAGAACACATATTGCAAAAATTTAAAGGCATTTTTTTGTTAAAAAAGGGGTACTTTATACCATAAACGATTATTAGTTTGATATAAAATTACGTTTCTGTTTGGGAAAAGGGAGGGCCCTAATATTGCAAAAAGGTTTTGTTCCAGTACTAATTTTTGTAGTTTTTGTTTTTTAAAGGTTTTTTTTTTCGTGTGATCATATTTGTTTCTTAATTCTACTTTACATTTGACTTTTTTTTCAGCATCAAAATTCTGTTGTAATACTGGACTGGAACCACGGGGACCAATAGGGGAAATCGGAAAAAGGGAAAATGGTTGTCCAATAAGCGGTATCATTCAACAAGACGCCCCTCAAATTATCTCGATATAATATCGGATAAGTTTGCCAAAACACCTAACCCACTATTTTGGACGTAACGTTGTATCCTGATAAACGGTGAATAATACCGGGTATAGTTGATTTTCTAACTAAAAAATCCCGCTCATTACAACACCTCAATTCCCATTACTTTTTTTAAAAGGCTTAAATTTGTATATTGATCTTTGCAAAAACTTTTATATTAACTGTTTAGAAAAGGTAATATTTTTAGTGCATATTTAATTAAGGCGTCAGAAATGGTTTGAAAGAAATTGCACTAATATGAATATAAGATGAAAATGAATAAAGTGGTTTTTAAAATAAAATTGTAAATTTCTTAAAAGAGTTATAAAATAATCAAACGGAGTGATGAAAATTACACGGAATTTAAAATTCGTTTCAAACTGGTTTTTAAATAAAGGCAGTATATTTAAAAAGTTTTTATCAACGATTTTTATGTCTTGAGGTTTTGCATAAAATTATGTATTTCTAATGGTTTCCTTTTTAAGGGGTGATTTTTATTTAGTAGTTTCAAGGGTTTGACAGGCTAAAATTAAATATCTTTTTTATTTAATTTCCAAATAATCCTAATGCGAATGCAACCAAAGAATTTTTTTCTCCCCTAAAGATTGAAATATAACACGGTTTTAAAAAAATGGTCACTTTTTATTTTCAAGCAGACCACACTAAACAGTAAAAAGGGTTCACTTAATACCTTTGTCTGGAAAGACTGAAACAAATTAACTTTGTCAACGGCTGAAGACCTTTGTGGGACATAAAGTTTCAACGTAGGATATAGTTATAAGCATTTATAAATACGGGTACACAAACATCATTTTCCTACTTATTCATAATATTACTTTTACCATGATTGCATTTTGTGGCAATCATTTTTAAACCCCGGTCTCCATCCAGCAAAAAAGGGACGGGCAAACGGATTTTATAACAAACTTTTCCTTTGCAACAAAGGGTCAATGTGGCGCTTAAATTTTTACACCTGAGGATCCCTGCTCGACATGGGCTTTCATCATAAGCTTTAAAACCTATAGAAAAATTGATCGTTCTTCCCAGATGACTGTGAGAGTTTTATATAGATTGTACACTGTTCTCAATACAATAACGACAACATAATTGAATTGAAAATAGAGACAGCATTACACCACCTGTTCATAAACGATTCAAGTCGTAATGTTTTCATAAGTTTGGATGATTCTCTACCGTAATAGTCTATGACTTATTTTTTATGCTATATCCTATCATCATATATTACAAAACAGTTACAAATAGAGTTTGAGACTTTACCTGTGTTATCTTGTAAAAGAATAAGTAAGCGTTCTGAAATAGATGGAAAATACAACACCTCTTGCATTTTTCATTTACCTTCATGTACCGACTCAATTAAACCGTGTCTGCACTTTTCATGTAATTTTGCTGTTTTTAATGCTTCAAAGGGATAAAAGAATTTCGCGACATTTAACACCTGACTTTGTGAGAATTCAAACACCATAAATAAAATAAAAATACTTGCTCGTCAAAACCTTTATTCTTATATTCTCTTTCACATTTTGTAAGCCAATAATTTAAGCAATGTTTTAACTAATTGCTTCCAGCCGCCGGTGTTGACTGGTCTTGTGTCGTCTATTGACACGCTAGAAGATGTCATATTTGAACGAGAACTTACAAAGTTTACATGTACTGACAGTTCAACATTAGACGTGTTCAGGTGTCTGCATCACCAGCACATGCAATGAACTTCTTATTTCTTCTACGCTTAAACCCACTGGAGTTGCTAAATGGTAGGCTTTGCGTCATAATTAATATATAAATGTGATGTTTTTATCTGAAAAAAAAATACAATGGCCAGCTGTTAGTGGAGGTCGATGAAGTTGAAAATATCGCCTCTCTAAGATTGATCAAGGAATTGTTCTTAGCCAATTATTAATGAGTTCTCTTGTAATATTAAGGTGTAGTTAAAGACAGAGGGGAAATAAATTGTTATCATGTTAACTGATTATTCCATTCACTATCAATGAATTATACTCTAAGATTTATTTATCAGACTAGTAACCAATTGTATATGTAACAATTAATTATCGTCCGTCAAATGACTGAATTTCTAATAAAAAAATTGCACTATTGATAGTTTTAGCATGACCGTTGTTTTCCTAGTAAAACCTTCAATGTAAATGACTATTTCGAGAATATGGATTGTAACGCCAGAATCAGCAACTGGAAAAACAAAGGTCAGTTTGACTACTACAACACAGAGGATTACACTTTAAACTGTCACATGTAAAGATGATGTTGATATAACTACTGTAACTGTCGATTGGTAAAATCTAATACAGAAATACACCTCCAGGTTGATTGACTAATATTCCAGTATTATCTCCAGAATATAACACTCGGTTCATGTATGCGTAAATATTAGTCGCACATATGGGGTTGCATTTGGCACAAGAATATAACCTTTTATTTTACTATTGTTTTCTTTTCTATTTTTTGTGTGTCAGCTGTAAAAAATAATGCGGCGTTCTTCACACATTAAGTTCGTCATATTTAAAGTTTTTCAGTTTTGTTTATGTGTGTAATGTGCGTGTAATTGCGTGCGCTGGAACTCAATAGATGTAATATCCAGAAAATAAAAAATAAATGTTCTAAAACACGAGGCACTAGTCACATTATCTATCATAAGATGATTGAAGATATAGCCGAGCACACAGAGCCTGGAGAGATGCGTGAAGTTGGCGGCGCCAGGCGGCCAGCGGCGCTGGCGGCGTGAAGTTGTGCGGCCCAGCGGCCAAAATTTTAATGTTGTAAGAAATGTTAATTTTTTGGCCGTCAAGTCCGCTGGGCTGCCAGCGGCCGCCAACTACACTAAAAAGGAGAAAATAAAAAAGTTCTCTGAACATGATTTTTCATTTTG